TTTTTTAACCTCACTTTTTAAGTTTTTAACATACTATGATTGTTGTTTGATATATTTACAGTCAAATAAATGTTATATTATAATGTCCAATGCAGAAAATATAATACTACGTATATTTTCTATAATATATACCTATGGTTGTCATTTGAAAATGTTTCACCTTCATCTTGTAATAATGGTTCTATACTTGATTTCTATGAGATTAATTTCGGATGCATGTGAATTATAATATTATCATTCGTACGAATTAAAATATTTTCGGATATCGTACATCGGATTTCGGATGCATGGGACACCGGCCTAATAATTATTTGTGAGTGTACGGCCCTTAGAGCATATACTACCGGAGGCAGCGTCCAGTGACCGAGAGTATAGCGGAGGTTTAGGGGGAGAGAGATAGGATTACCCTCGTATACCTCTCTCAAAAACTCTGCTACACTCTCGGCCACTGAGACACGCTGCCTCCAGTAGTATATGCTCTAAGGTAAAGCAATAATTAAGAAGGAAGAAGAAGAAAACCGGCAACCTCACATTTTCAGAATTTTATTGACATTTATTTTTATACATTATAAATCAGTAATATTTGTGCATTATGCTAAAAAATGAATTAAACTGCTGCTACAAATGTAGAAAAATAAAATTTTCCAGGTTTTTTACTACAAATCATGTTAATTCAGAAATATTATCGGATCTGTTTGGTAAGTATTTATCATAGATTTGTATTAAATCTGTAGTAATAGCAATAGTAATGGGTAGGTACATATTTAAATAAATAATACACAGTAACTTATTAAAAGTTATTTTTAGGGTTAAGTTCCTTAGAATCGAAGTTGTTCATAGAAAAAAACAAATTACAAAATAGAGAAGCACAACTTTTGATGAATTGCACAAAATACTGCAGAAAGTTGGGTTACACCGATAATGAAATTTTGGCAACTCCTACTTTATTGCGGTTACATCCTTTAGAACTTGAACAGCACCATTTAAGTTTGGAAGAGGGTGGTTTTCAGTCAATTGGCCCAAAAATATTGGCAAGGTAAAATACGACATTTGGCAGGACTTTTTAATAATAATCATATCGTTTTGAAGGGCTCGAAATTACATGAGAAAGGTGATCAGTATCTTGAAATCAAAAAATATTATACATGAGAAGACCAATGTACCACAACATTTTTTAAATTATATTGAAGATGTGAATATAGCAAATAAAATATCAGTAATACGATTCTCTGATGCTAATGTATGGAATGAAGTTCATAAATCTATTTTACAATCTTTTTTGAGTAAGTATTTTCATTTACCTATGTTTGATGAAATTTATTGTTTTTATTCAAGGAATGAGATTAAATGCAACTGAAGATGAAATCATCAGATTATTCAGAATTCATAAAACAATAAAGAATAAAAGTTTTAGAGTAGTTCAGGAAAATATTGCTATTGCTGAAGATTTGGGTTTCGATCAAAGAAAATTAATAAAACATGGTTATCTCTTGCATAACTATCCTAAGTATCCAAAAACTGTTCTTAAGGATTTTCCTAACTTAGCTGGTTCAGATATGAGAAAAGCTATGTGGATGTATCCCAAGTTGGTAATGGCATCACCTACCAATATTATCAAAATATACGGAACGCTAAAGGTATAAAAGTTGCTAAAAATATATGGCTTGTTTGTATAAAATAACTTTTATTTTAGGAATTCGATATAGAAGATGCAGTAATAAGGAAGCAAATGAACGTTTTCCATTTGTCCCCAACTACAGTGAAGTTACGATTAGAAGAAATTGAACAGTCTCCAGATTTCAGAGTATTGCTAAAACATCCAAAATTGTTATCTCTTATTGTTCACCACAATAGGGCAAAATCTAGACTTTCATTTCTACAGCAGTTGCAATTAAGATGTGCTAGTTTTACTGTTTTAGGTAAGTAAACTAAAATGTTATGCAATTGTGTACCTCATTTTAACATTACTTATAAAAAGTTACTTAATTTTCAAATATAAATTTTTCGGTATTATACCGGGTGGTTCACATAAAACTAAAAATATGCTGAACCACCCTGTAACTCACCCAAAAAAACCGGACTAACTTCTTAATGATATCAAAATATGACATAATGTGTAAGTATTTAGGTTTTTCTGGAAAGCAGTTTGAGAAAGCGATCTGAAGGAGGGTAATTTGTGAGTGGTTGCTTTTTTTTGGGGAGGTAAATTCTCACAGTAAATGGGAAGAATGTTACTTCCTGTGAGTTTTTTTTATAGAAATGGATTTTATTCAACACTGGTTTGTATGAAAAAATTGTGGGCCTTACCTTGAGTCCTACTTGGATCTATCCAATTTCAGACAAACTCAAAGACTTGAATTTTTAAAGTTTATTTAAAGGACGTTTCATTTAAAATTTAATGGTAGTGTTGATAAACCTCTTCTAAAGATCTTGAAATTTTTTTTTTGGCTCCAGCACCATCTACTATTTGCTTGGACTTGGACTTTTAATTGATGTTTTCTAGGATCTCTATCAAAAGTTTTTTAAAAATTACTCGGTATATTATTATGAAAATAAGTAGTAATCTAAAAATTCTTAGAAAATAATTGCAGAATTTCTAACTTTGTTAGTTTTTTTATTACTAAAGATTTCTATTGTGGATATAAATAAATAGATACAGTGACCCATTTGAAACCGGGTTATACTCATAAAATTTTTATGTACAGGGCGATTCACTATATTTTGACCCCCTCTTTAACTTTTTTGTTTTGAGTTATAAAAAAATGTGAAATATACAAGGTGCACGATTTTTTATGAATTTTTCAAAAATGATAGTAGAAAAACAAATGAAGTCCAAACAAAATGGCCGCGAATGTTAACTTTGTTAAGTTAAATGGAACACCCTGTATAATTTTACATATTTGGAAAGAACGTTCCCTGTCGAGCATAGTCATGTAGGGTTTGTTGGGTCCATCGCTAACAATAAGCGAGATACTATTAAAAAACGAAATTGAGGTTTTTTATTAAGAAAATAAGACATCTTGTAATTGTTAAACCTTTTTCAGGCATTTCTGCCTTTTTCCAATACGTAAGGAATTACAGATTTAGTTATAATATATTTTGACAGATCGGACATTGATGTGGTCCAAAATGCGTATAGGTAGTTTAACTAAATCTCACTAATTAGGCCGTGAGATGCCTAATTGCTCATGAACAAAGTTATATGGTAGGCCATGACAGTGACAGGTAATGTCATGACAACATTGTTATTGTTTGACAGTTTGTATTATTATTTAATTAAAATGGGTTACAGAGAAGTAGAAAATTGAAATATTATAGGAATTAAAATAGAGCAAAGTTCTTCTCCATACTCTATTTTAATTCTAAATAATTTTCTACTTCTGTGTAACCTATTTTGTCAAGACATTACTACCTGTCACGACCTACCATATAATGTCCATGAGTAGTTAGACCTCTCACGGACTAATTAGTAAGATTTCGTTACATTACCTATACGCATTTTGGACCGTATGAATGTGCGATATATCAAAATATATTATAACTAAATCTGTAAATCCTTACGTAATTGGTAAAAAGGCAAAAGTGCCTGAAAGAGGTCTAACAATTAAAAAATGTATTATTTTCTTAACAAAAAACCTTCTTTTCGTTTTTAAAGTATCTTGCTTATTGTTAGAGATCGACCCAATTAACCCTATATAGCTATGCTCGACAGGGAAAGTTCTATCCAAATATGTAAAAATATACAGGGTGTTCCATTTAACTTAACAAAGTTAACATCCGCAGCCATTTTGTTTGGACTTCATTTGTTTTTCTACTATCATTTTTGAAAAACTCATGAAAAACCGTGCAACTTTTATATTTCACATTTTTTTATAATTCTTAAAACAAAAAAGTTAAAGGAGGGGTCAAAATACAGGGTGATTCAGAACTTATCCAAAAAAAAAATTCTGGATGTACAGTGGACTCTTACAAATACAATTTTGTAAAGAAAAAATCGAAAAGGGCAATTCGAAAATTATTTAAAAATACACTTCTGCACGGCACTGGAAACTGGTCCACTGTAAAACCTGACCTGGTGCAATGCGACCGTCACGGCGCCAGTGATAAAAGCGGACAAAAACTTGAAAGAATTTCGTAAGGAAAAGAAAGAATAAATAGAATTTTATAGCACCTATTTTATATCAGTAAACTCAACTGATTTTGTTCAAATTTGTTTGTGGTTTTAAATAATAAAATAATTTGACATACCTGATGTTACAACAACTGTCCACCAACATGTAAACACATTTGGGTCTGTCTTACTCAGTTTCTATGAACTAACACAAATGCTGTCTTGTTTCACCATAACACAAATGCTTCACCATAATAAAATTGTTTTCTTGCTTCACCATAAACTAAAACGATATCCATCAACTCCAAGTTGTTATACACGCAAGCCATTTTTGACACTAACTACTAAAAAACTATTCTAAACATCGGATTTTAGTGTTCTGAGTCGCTGAGGCCACGTGCCTCTCCATGCGCATTACGAATGACGCTAGAGACTACAGTTGTCCAGCTATGTAATGGTTGAAAGCACTACAACTTTAATAATTTTTTTCTCGGAAACTATAAGGATTTTACAACAATTTTTTTTTAAATTATTGACTCCATTTCTCATGCCGAATCTATTTCCAAATTTTTTTGGATAAGTTGTGAATCACCCTGTATAGTGAATCACCCTGTACAGGGCGATTTTGACCAACTTTTTTTTGAATCGTGGAAGAGAGGAAAATGTACTTTAGGACCAAGTGTCATCCAGATCATTTTTGGAGGGTAAAAATTGAAGAAACCATATTAGCGATTTTTTTAGAAAAAATCTAAGTATGCCAGTGAATTAAGCGCCCCTTAAAATGGCCTCTGCCAAATTCCATAAAAAAATATTGGATATTAATTATTCGATGATCAAATTGTCAATTGTGCTGATCTTACGGATTTATATCTTTTCATGAGTCTTTATTAGAAAACATTTAAAATATTATAACATGACATACAGTTCTGTCAAATTGAAGTTTCTGATAAGGCTTCTTCAATTTTCACTCCCCAAAAATGATCTGGTAGGCCTTGGTTTTTATATAAAAAGGATGACACTTGGTCCGAAAGTACACTTTCTCCCCAGTACAATTCAAAAAAAAAGTAGGTCAAAATCGCCCTATAAATAAAATTTTATGAGGGTGTCTCGGTTTCAAATGGGTCACACTTAAAACCGGGACACCCCCATAAAATTTGTACTCGTATTTATAGTCCGATGTTGACTAACTTTTTTTGCATTGTAAAGTGGGAAGAACTGTACTTTAGGACGAAGTATATTTTTTTATAAAAACCAAGGCCTACTGCGTAGTTTTTTAGTGATGAAAATTAAATAAATTATATTAGCATTTTTTTTACAAAAAATTTGAGTACACCACCAAGTTCAATCTTGTCTCTTACACTTACATGTAGGTAACACTACCCAACCGTCACTCACCGATTAGAATGAAACTTGGCACATCGATGCAACTCTAAAAAATATTGAAAACTGATAAAAAAATAGGGTTCAATATTTTTTAGAGTTCTATCGATGTGCCAAGTTTCATTCCAATCGGTGGTTACTTGCTAGTTGTTGCATTATGGCACCACAAAGTTGTAAAGTTTTTACAATATTTGTAAAGGTTCTAATCTGATAGAAATAATTCTATGTAATGCTTTACGTCACTTTCTGATATTCAGTTAATTTTGGCTTGCTTCGTCAGACGAAAAAATCAACAATAATGTGATGTGTTTTTTATTTTGCCACAGTATTTTTTTATGAAATTTGGAACATATCCATTTCAAAGGGCACTTAATCCAGTAGTGTACTTAGATTTTTTTCTAAAAAAAACCGCTAATATGGTTTCTTCAATTTTTACGTTCCAAAAATGATCTGGTAGGCCCTGGTTTTTGTAAAAAAAAGGATGACACTTGGTCCTAAAGTACACTTTACTCTCTTCTACAATTAAAAAAAAATTGGTCAAAATCATCCTGTAAATAAAAATTTTATGAGGGCATCTCTGTTTCAAATGGGTCACACTGTATGTATAAAATATAATTTAATAGTCGCAAGATGGAGCAGCAAGTAAATATGTAGTTTTAAAATATTTGTGGTATTAGGAGTCCTAGCAGTGCAGGAAATAGTAGATTGTAGACAGCGCTGGACTTACAATAGGGACACTAGGGGCTAGTGCTCAGGGCGGCAAATTCCCAGGAGCGGCAAAATTCGGGGCTTGAGAAAAAAAATTTTTTTGCGCTATCAGAAATGCTTCAAAAAGTGTGCATTTACAAATAAAATTAAATACAATAAATTTATATATTTATCTAAAAATATACAGGATGTCGCGCTTAAATGTGATACAAGCCTGTAGCTTCTTTGTTTTTTGACCGATTTAAAATTTTTTTAGAATTTTTAGAATGTAGGAAAAAAGAACTCCCTTTAATTGTAATGCTGCTGTTTTTATTAATGCAATTCACGGCCAACTAGGACGCGTCTTTTTGACGTCAACACAGTTAATTGGTATTAGCGATTTTTTTCCCAAGAAACAGATTACACATTCTCATTCAGCATCCCTTAAAATATCTTTTCACCAAGTTTAATCAAATTCGATACATCTTCAGACGAGCACTAGTTGGCCGTGTATTGCATTAATAAAAAACAGCAGTATCACAGTCAGAGTTTTTTTATCCTATACATATTTCATAAAAAAAAAAAAATTAATAGGCCAAAAAATAAAGAAGTTACAGGCTTGTATTACATTTCGCGACATCGTGGAGTGTTCGCCTGAAGATGTATCGATTTTGATGAAACTTGGTGGTAAGACGTTTTAAGGGATGCTGAATGAGAATGTAATCTGTTTTTTGGAAAAAAAATCGCTAACAATATATAATACCAATCAGCTACCAAACGCGTCCTAGTTGGCCGTGAATTGCATTAGTAAAAACAGCAGTATCACAGTTAGATAAAGTTTTTTTAACCTACATTCCCATAAAAATTTTTGAAATCGACCAAAAATAAAGAAGTTATAGGCTTGTGTCATATTTAAGCGCGACACCCTGTATATGATTATAAAATCGTCCATAATTCTATAACTTATATAATAATTTATGTAACAATATAAAATATGCAATATGCATATATAAGAAATTATATATAATTTTTTTCCCCGGGTAATTATTTTAGTTCAAACTACGCACTGCGAAATGCTCAAGAAAAATTAGTGGTTTTTATAGCAGAAAGTTAAAAAGTATTCTTAACCCTCATCCATTTTGTGTAGAATATGGGTAATGGGGCGACATTTTTTACGGTGCCCAGGGCATAAGGGAAAATTCGGCCCTGATTGTAGATATAGAAATGTTTGTTAGTTGGTAATTAGTAAATCAGAATTCAAATAGAATTTTTTGTCTAATAAACCATTTATTTTATTTATATAAGCATTTGTTGTTAATTTTAGGGTATGATGACGATGAGATATTCAACGATTATATCAGAGAAGGAAAAGATATTAATAAGTTTCTCGATGTACTGATATTTTTAAAGAAATTGTTCAATGTGAATGAGGAATACATTAAAAAGAAGTTGAAGATTCATCCATTTTATTTGCAAGTTCCCTTGAAAGATATGCAAAATACTTACGATTTTTTGATCAGTCAACACTTTCGATGTAGTGATATTCTTAAAGTTATGCAAATTATATTGTATCCACAGTAAGTAAAGTCAAATTAGATATTTAAATGACAGAAAAAATACAGAGAAGCATATTTACAGTATGTAATCATCATTTGTTTTAGAGAGAAAATAGAAAAAAAACTTAACGAAATGCAATCTAATAAAGAAATAAATTTTGAATCTGTTACTCCAGCGAAGAAATTGAATCTATTACTGTACTTCATAGAAAGAGATCATCATTTTACTGGCAATGGAATATGGATGAAATATAATGAGGTAACTGATATGTCAGAGAAATCTAATCAATAAAAGCATAGGTAATTTTATTTATACAAATATTTTTTAAATATATAAAATTAAAATCTATGGATTTTTCATTTTTATGAAGAATTTGAATCCTTTAACTGTGATATAATTTTGATGCTAATATACCTTATCACGACAATTACATTCTTTGAATAATAGAGAATGAATAGTGCATTTAAAAGATTATTTTTATTACCTCTGATTTACAATACTGTAATAAATAAAATATTTCATCACAAATAAAATATGTAGTAAACATATATCTAGAGCATTTCTAAATTATGGTGCTATAAAATGTCATGTCATTTTCAGCAGTGTTTCATATACCTAGGTACAAAAATGCTTAATAAAAAAATGGGGGGGGGGGAGGGGAGGTAATATATTGCCGTTACAAATAAATTTTTCTAAATAATTCTAAACTGGCTGTTCAGTTTCAGATGGAAATTTAGCACAGAAAAAATAGAAATTTAGGTTCATTGTAATATCTCATGGAGGAATAGTTTTTCCTCATATACAGCATCGAATATAATTTTTGATAAAATACAAATTTTTCTGAAAGCGCGTATTATATTCAGACAAGGAAAAAAGGTACTTGCTTGATAATTTTTTTTTTTTTTTTGAGAAAATTGGCAATGCGCAATTACTGATGGCATTTGACACTTTGATGATACTAACTTTGAAAATAAAAAAATGTCATGAACTTTATTTCAAATTTTGCCGGTAGGTTTTACCAACAAAAAAATTTATAAAAATTGGTTTAAACTTGTTTCATATTTTTTGTTAATATTTCACACAATAAATTATATAAGTAATTGCAATATTCACTGTATTTGTAGCACCATTTTACATTTCAATAAATTGAAATCTCTGGGAACCTAGTTATTTGCGATTAATTTTTGATATTTAATTGAAATATAAATATACGATATACATGAAAAGAAGTGTATAAGGTAACCTTCATTTTTTAATGTAATAATTAGTATTAGCACTGCTGAATAAAAATAAAAAATCAATACAAATCCGCAAAGTCGAAACCAGTTATCTTGTTGATTTATTGAAATTCGAAAATTTCTACAATTTTGCACACAATCCATTATAAAATTGTCAATCGGTTAATTTATTGGATGAAAATTTGGTAAATATAATGCCATATTTAAGGCATGTTGAAACTTCGGACCTAATTAAAAAAAAACGAACTTGTATCTTGTTTGGAATTTTGCAACAATTTGTATCATCAAAACGATTATGATTGATAATTGTAGAATTACACTGATTGGCCATTTTGGAGTTGTTTTTAAAAATATGTTTGTGTTAGTGTAACTTAATCACCATGTCTTTGTCAAGTGTTTCCATGTTGCACAGAAAACTTTTTTGTACTCACTGGTTCAATTTGGCACCGTTTTAGAAGCGCTCTATACATATATTAAAAATTCTAATAAAATTGTTTTGAAAATTAGGTCTGGATTAGGATGGTAAAAATTAAAACAATTTTACTTGTTCTTTTAATAAAATATTTATAAAAATATAGATGCTAATGTAATTTTACAGCCTCTTTTTTTCTATATTTTTTTTTTTTTGACAGCCATGAAATGGATGACTATTATAGTTGGTAATTTTAGCTTTACAGTTCTATTTGATTGATTAAAGAAGGAAAAAAATACATCACAACATAAAAATGTTCACTTTTACTGGATACATTTTTTTCCTTTAAAAAACTAAGTTGGACACATACATTATCAATCGGCATTTAGAAACTTAAAATACAACTGTTTTAAAAAATTTAAATAAATTTACGTGTCTTCAGTATAATCTAAAACTTTTCGTAAAAATTTTTAAACCTATGGTTATTTTTTTCACTTTGAGAAAATTATAAACAAAATTACAATAATAAACCGTTATAATTAAACTGCACAATATTTAAAAATATTCATATCAAAAACAAAAACTGTACACTTAATAATTGTATTATATTATTTTGTAGTAGAGCTGCAGGCTGCTTATCCTGAATAAAAATGTAAACTAAATTTAGCATTTATTTTTTAAAACTTTGCTCTGCAATTTTGAAAAGTGTTTCAGCCATGGCTTTACCAGTTTGTTGCACCATGCTATACAATATGCCATCAGGATTTTGCAGTAATTTATATGGTTGATCAAATTCTTTTACAGTTCCTGCATCCATTACTAAAACTTTATCTGAATCCATTACAGTGTTCAATCTGTGTGCAATAGTAAGTACAGTGCATTCTTCAAATTTCTTTCTAATAGTATTTTGGATTAGAGCATCCGTTTGTGGATCAACATTGGCAGTCGCTTCATCCAAGACTAGAATTTTATTGTTACGGAGAATTGCCCTTGCAAGACACACCAGTTGCCTTTGTCCCACACTGAAATTTGAGCCACCTTCAGACATCTTGGAACTTAAACCTGAAGTTAAGTCTTGCATTGCTTCTTTTAATTCTACATCTTCAAGAGCTCTCCAAATGTCTGCATCCAGATACTCATCAAATGGATCTAAGTTTTTTCTCATTGTACCGGAAAATAGCACCGGTTCTTGCGGGATTATTGATATCTTTGATCTAAGGTCGTGTAGACCTATGCATGAAATATTAACCTCATCGATTAAAATCGTTCCCTCAGTATCAGTTAATTGGAAAATAGCATTTATTAATGAAGATTTTCCTGCCCCCGTACGACCAACTATTCCAACTTTCTCTTTCGGAAAAATTGTGAAATTTAGATTTTGTAAAACAGGCGGATCCTCTGGGAAGTAACGCAAATATATATTTCTAAATTCAATTTTTCCAAATTCTGGCCATTTACTTGATGGTTTCTTATCTGGCTCTGATTCAAGATCTCCTTCATGTTCAATAGTGTTATACTCTAATATTCTTTCAACGGAAGTCATTTGATTTTCTAATTCCGTGGACTGTCTCATACCCCACTGAAACATTCCAGTCAAACCTATAGCTTGTGTAATTGCCAGGCCCACATTGCCTCCAAATGTTTCTGAAAAAGATGTTAATATTGAATGGTATAATCTGTATACGAGCCCTAACACATAAATGTTCGGACACGTCAGTTATTTCAATAAATCACTCTCGAAAAACGTATAAACTAACTTTTATTTTTCTCACTTTAATTTGTGATTACAATGCATGTATCTATTTTTATAAACCATAAATAGTTTTGATTTTGGTAAATATATAAGCAGGTCACATAAGCAAATTCTGAAATATGCAAATAATACGTGACACATTAATGTTCGGACACGTTATAATTTTCAGATGCAAGTTAACAACTAATACGTAGTCACGTCACCTTTCGACTTAATAACTGCCTTGATTCGTTTAGGCATTGATTTGACTAAAAAAAAAATTTTTTTGTAGATTTGGCCGTATGGCATGACGCACCATTTTGCTGGAAAATATAGTCTCCTTCAGGATACAAAGATAATGCACTCGGCAAAAGACTTTCTCGCAAAATTTGTTGATATTTATCGGCGTTTATAATTCCATCCACGAATTGAAACTTACCCATACCTCTTGCAGACATGCATCCCCAAATCATTATACCTTGTGGAAATTTTCGGTTCGCTTAATGCAATCTTTATGGAATGCTTCTGATTTAGATCTGATTACTCGTTTCTGGTAATCCCCGACGCAGACGTCAAATTTTGACTCGTCAGAAAATATGACATTGGACCAATCGTCTACAGTCCAAGAACGTTTTAATTTTGCCCATATCAGCCAATTTTTTTTTTGTTTTACGGTAAGAAGAGGTTTTTTTTGGCCTAAAATCACTCATACTTTAATTTTAATTGACTTTAATAACATAGAAGCGCAACTTACTTTATAAAATCCTAAACCAGACTTGCGAGTCCACCTTCTACATGTTTCCCGTGAAATATTTAGTCCTGTTTGACCGTTCCATTCTGCAGTTATTTCACGTACAGTTCTTCTTCGCGATTCTTTGCATAGTTTTACAAGTTTCCTTTGAGATCTTGATGTTATTTTAACCGGTCTACCACTCGATTGCCCACGACTATCAGTTTTTCCTGTTTCTTCATAAAGCTTAATTATACTAAAAACTGTTGATTTTGACAAACTTAGCTCTTTCGCTATCTTACGAATGCTATTGTTGTCAAGATACTCTTTAACAATTAAATCTCGAATTTTTGTATTTGTTGCTGTACCTCGTGCCATTTTCACCATAACTGTGCGTTATTAGCAACAGTAAATGTCAGTCAACAATGATTCTATACATTTTGTTTTCAAAGCCTACTGTTTGATTGTGTATTTTTAGACATTGCCGCGATGTCCGAACATTAATGTGTCACGTATTATTTGCATATTTCAGAATTTGCTTATGTGACCTGCTTATATATTTTCCAAAATCAAAACTATTTATGGTTTATAGAAATAGATACATGCATTGTAATCACAAATTAAAGTGAGAAAAATAAAAGTTAGTTTATACGTTTTTCGAGAGTGATTTATTGAAATAACTGACGTGTCCGAACATTTATGTGTTAGGGCTCGTAAAAAAACAATACAATTTTATCTTTATAATTAATATTTGAAATCAACAGGTAAAATTCTATATAAAATGTAACATAAATGTAAAATATTCATAAGATGAAGTCAATAAATAGCTTAATTACTTATTTTGTTTATAATTTTTCATTGGAATTCATCAATATAATATTAAAGTGGGTAATTCTTACTCTGCAGTCTAGATGGCAGTGCCATCAAGAGTCAGTACACATAGTGGATCCCTATATTTTAAGGTTTATAAGTTATACAAACAACTTCAAACTAATTTATTTTTACAAGGATTTAGAAGTTTTTAAGAACAACTAATAAGTGTTTCGTAAAATAGATACACTAATGGCACTAACTTACAAAAACGATATAAAAGAATACTCCTAAATTTAAATAAAGTAAAAATTTAACATTAGCCGTGCTATTTCTATTGCTCATGCTTGGAAAGAATAGTCTCATAGTTTCATACGCAGGTGAGCTCTTGTTGTTATCGCTGTCATATTTTCTCTTATTTTGTTTAATCTTGGCATTTTCTAATTCTACTGAGTATTGCTATTGTTTCCTTTGGTGTTGTACTGTGTCAGTGTGTTTATCGAGTGTTTTTTCTTCAAGTGGTTTGTTATAGACGTACTCTTAACCATAACCAAACTTTCCTTGAAAATATCCTATACTCGACGGCCAAAATTATAGATAGTGATTCATCGCTAGCTCTTGGACTAGTAAGGGGGATGAAGCGTGCCGGGAACGAAAATCCATTGGCGTGTTTGCGTAAAAGGCAACAAGATATATAAAATATTGAAAAAACATAATAAAACATAACATCTAATATTTTTTACGGTTTGCTATAACCGGCACTTTGATCAATTTTAATTATTACAGCATTTTAAAACGTCCCAGTTGTGTTTTTTTAATTTATAAATTTATTATAGCCATGGAATTAGACCCCTCGTCTACGCTTATGCTATGACGTTTTTCAGGTCGGGCAAATCAAGTCCGTTTACACCCACTAAAAAAGCATTTCCCTATTCCCTACCAAGTGCAAAAGACAGAGATAAAATATAGATTGACGTTCAGTGTAACTCAGTCTATACACGATTATAGATTCTACCGATGTGCATGGCGAACGGCACAAAGATAAATAATATTGAACCGTATAGAAATCATTTTATATTTTATACGCATTATGGTAATAGTGTTTTTATATCATGTATTAGCACAGACAAAATAGCTATCGCCACAGACCGCTCCTGGAATAGGCCAGCAGTTTTAAATTTCCGAATTGCCGGTAGAGTACACCACCAGCAGAATTTTAGGAAGAATCAAATACAGCGGCCCGCATACCTAAGCGTATCCTAGCAACATATAAACAAGACTTTGGTAATGTTGCCAGGCGTACTTATGGATTTCTTTTGTACACTTTTTTATCAATATCTGTTTTTTGCGTTATCGTATTTACTTCACAATGTATGATGTAGGTATTGATAAAAATGTTTTTAAAGAATCAACGAATATCTATGTATGTATCATATGATATTCTGCAGTGGTGTTACAATTAAGTTATTTAATCATAATTTCGTTAATTAGCTACCTACTATTTTCATTTTTTGGTATTGAAATACTGCAGAAAATATATTTCCAAATAAACAAAATTCGTAATAATATTTTAAAACGGATGGTATTAACATATCGGAATACCGAAGTCAAAATTGTATAAGTAGTGACATCTATTAAAGAAAAGCCAAACGACGAAAACAAAATGACCACTGGTCGCTGAATTACAAGTGGAAGTGGATCTTATTTGTGGAAGAGCGAAACGGGCGGTGACTATGAGACGCCTTCATTATAGCCATCCTTCTCTATCGCAAGGATTTCTATGACTTACTTTATTGCTCTTACGTAACGTCCGATGAACCATGGGGACTTTCCGACCCTGTATGTATACATATTTATATATTAATTACTTATTACATACCTATTTGGTTACTTCATTACACTTTTATTTTATTGCCTTCATCTATGTTTTTATAATTTATTTTCTGTTTTAAAAAGTTAAATAAATAATGCATCTATTTTCTCTTTCTCTTAATTGAAATAAAGGTATCCTCAATACTTGATTTATAGTCTTAAAGGGAACCCATCCAAAAACCCTAAAGTCCAAATTTTTGCGACTTAAATTTCAGTAGTCTGGAAAATTTTATGTGATGGCCATTGTATATTTACCTGTTCCCAAAAATAAGAAGCTAAACGTTACAAGGGTTATGTAAATTATGCACACTAGATCCAACCAGTATCCAAACGCCCTTGATGTAGAGATAAACGTGAACCAAGCAGAACTATGTAAATCTTGATAATTATCAAATTCTTTTATTAAAATCTCTTGAGCATTAAAAGCTCTTATAGATGTTAATCCTTGTAAGGAAGCATTTAAATGAGAGAATACAGGGCTTCTTGCTGAAATAAAACCAAAATTAAAAACAAGTTTTATTTTTACTTTTCTATACTTACTGACTCCTTCCAATCGTTTAACATTTCTGCTAGTTCTAAGATAAAATATTCTCAGCAAATAAAAAATAATTCCTATTACAACTGTGGGTACCATAAACCATGGATTTACTACTGCAACAACAACAATAATACCAACTAGTGCAAGCCCTATTTGTAAACAGTCGATCATTGCACTTGTTAAAAGTTCATCCACTGATCCCATATCTTTAGAGAATCTATTTAAGATTCTGCCTGCACTATTCGTATTAAAAAATCTCATAGTAGCTCTTATTATACTCATAAACATAGTATCATGAAGATTTGTAGAAGCTCTCATACATACTGAAAAGAATGTAAAAGATCGAACCAAAGTTGCCACAATCAATAATATGATTATAACTGAGTATATATAAATAGAGGTTTCTCTTGAGAAGTGCCAAAAGTTATCAGTTGTATTAGAAGAGGTATTGGCCTGATCCTCTTCTTCTAATTTAACCCTAGAACAATGAATGTTTGTGAATTAGACAGTAAATTTTGGCGATATAAACAATAATTTTCTTTAAGGTATTTATGTAACATGTTAAGAAAAGTGTGATTTTTTCCATATTTCCACACGTTAGACATATTGAAAAACAGTCCAGGATAATTTTAAAAGTGTTTACTTGAATGTATACATCAAATACAGCATGCTAATAATGTGAAAGAAATTAATAAGTTGTTTTACACAATTATTTCATAAGATTACATAGGGGATATATTTATATATAATCTAGCTCTGCGGATCTAGTAGGTCCATGGCTTGGTTGGCTATCTTTCTCCACTTGTTTCTATCCTTTCCACCTGACAATTCCCAGTTGTTGTAAGTCCCTCTCCACCTCAGATTTCCATCTTGTTTTCGGTCTTCCTCTCCTCTTCTTACCGCCAATTGTTCGTTCCACTACCATTTTTGGTATCCTTGTCCCTGGCATTCTTTCAATATATCCCATCCATCTTAATCTTTGCGCTTTTATCACACTTACTATACTTGCCTCCTTATATAAGCTTTTTATTTCCTCATTTGTTCTTCGAAACCACCCTTCTTCTGTTTTCCCTCCAAAAATGTTCCTCAATATTTTCCTCCCATACTTCCAATCTTGTTTGTTCTGTTTTATTCAACGTCCACGTTTCACTGGCGTATGTAACTACTGGTCTTATCACTGTCTTGTACAGCCTTATCTTTGTTTGTCTAGAAACGTTTTTGTTTCTCAGTATTCTCTGCAACCCCACTACACTTTTGTTTCCTAACATTATTCTGGCTTCAATTTCTTCCTCTATTTTCGGTCTTCTTCTAAATAAGGTGCCTAAATATGTGAAATGTTCAACTTCCTCAAATCTGTACGTTTTCCCATTTGTATCTACTTTCAGAAACTTGTCTTTTTGATATTCTTCTTCCGACCATTCCATGTACTTAGTTTTTGTCTCATTAATATATAGTCCCCTTTTAGACTGTTCATCTATTTTCTTTATTACCTCTTTTAGTTCTGCTTTATTTCTTGCTAACACTACAAGATCATCCGCAAATGCCAAACACTGATGTCTTTTATAGTAAATAAGGCCTGATCTATTAATTCCTGCATCTCTTATGACTTTTTCTAGCACTAAACTAAATAACACTGCTGATAATGGATCCCCTTGTCTGACCCCGTTTTTAACTTCGAACTCTTCCGTGCATCTATTGTTTACTTTTACTTTATTCTCTGTCTTTTCCATTTTAGGCGTACAATGTTCCTTATCTTCTTGCTGATTTCTAATTCCTCTAAGACCTTATATAGCTCACTTCTTTTTATTTTGTCATAAGCTTGTTGATAATCTACAAACAGAACTACTGTTGGCTTACCGTATTCGAAGCTTTCAGCCTGAATTTCTCGCAGAGTGAAAACTTGGTCTACTGTATTTCTTCCTTGTCTAAACCCGCACTGATATTCACCAATTTTATCCTCCACTTCCTTTACCAACTTGTTTTTTATACAAGTGGCCAGTATTTTATATGCTACATTCTGCAATGCTATTCCTCTGTAGTTTTGACATTCCCCTCTATTCCCTTTTTTTGGATAGGGCAAATTTCTGCTTCCGTCCATTCCTTTGGCAGTTCTTCCTTTACCCAACATCTTTCTAGTAGTTTCTGTAATTGGTCTGCTAGTTCATGTCCTCCATATTTAAATAGTTCGGCTGTTAATTTGTCACTTCCTGGACTCTTATTATTTTTCAATTTTGACAGTATCTCTTTAATTTCCTCTTTACTTGGCGCTGGCACCATATTGTCTCCTATGTTGCTATTATTTTCTTCTCTTTCCGTATCATCGGTTTCATCTCCATTTAATAATTCTTCAAAATATTCTTTCCACCTGTTCAATATTTCGTTTTCTCCTGCCACTATCTTCCCATTCTTATCCTTATAAAATACTGGTCTTGGTTGATACCCCCTTTTCTCATTCTTCACTTCTTGGTATAAATTCCTAATATTGTTATTTCTTAAGTTTTCTTCTATTTGTTCTAATACCGTTTCGTAGTTTTTCCTTTTCTTATTTCTTAGCACCTTTTTAGTTTTCCTTCTTCCTAGGATATTCCTTTCCTTCTTTTCCTTCTAGGGGATATATTTAATGAATCTAAATGTTACAAAATATTTTTCATGTAACTCATTCAATCTTTATGTTTACAGAACACTTTTTGGAATATTATATTTACTAAAAAAAGTGTAAAAATCCAAGACCATACTTTTATATCGCCTACAGTTGTTACAAAATGTTGCAGAATAATGACAAAAATTTCAAATGTCAATTCATTAAATTAACTGCTTATAAAGTGTGGCTTTTCATAACTATAGTTATAGAAAGTAGAACATTTTGATATTTGCTCCAATTACAAAACATGTTGCTGTATATCAAAATTTGAAATTTGTCTATATTAAATTTTAAAGTGATATAAATTCAACAAAAATGCCTTAGATATATAAAAAAATTAAATGAATCAATCAAATCAATCTAACAAGGAAGTTATTGTGTATCTCTTGTCCATAAATTTTGTTATATCAAGATATTTTTGACAATCCACGAGTCAGCCATATTTATAAAATCGCGACAATACCACAATTGTTTTATATGCTGTGACAATACTTTTATTGTTATGCACAATTACAGTAATGGTGGGTTTATAAAAAAGTTTTAACCCCAACTTAGATTTGGTATCTGCCCTAAGAAGTTACAAATACATACGTTTAAAGTACTGCTTTATAAAAATTCAATTGTTGCAACAAGCACAAGAAATACAGCGAACGGCACGGGTACAATTAAAAGTTTTGTTGTTATGTTCGCAACATTCCATGGGTTTAAGATTATTTCAAATGGATGATTCGACAGTTCATTTGGATATCAGCACACTACAGGAAATGCGAGCACAGTTGACAGCGATTGAGACAATTGAGCAGTTAAATAGAGTTCAGTATGAATTTGCAATATGGAGTAGACGGATGAAAATGTTTAAATATTAATTACCCTTTACGAAACTTATCCTGTTTTATGGGATCCGCAACATAAAAATATTAGATTATTTTTTTTTTGCAATACCAGTAACAATACCAATGCTGTGACAGGCATATGAAAAGTTGTTGAAAAACGTCTCATCTGATTGCAAATCATTCATCTAAGGTATAATAACATTTTCTTAATAACAGATCCTTGACTTTGCGTTTAAAATGCAATACATGTAAATTTTTAAAGCAATTAGGAAGATGATTATAATAAAGTGTTATAAATATTTATCTTTCAATATTTTATTCTATTACAAAAAAATTAAGGGATATTAAACAAAAATTCCAAATTTTTGGGTGATTTTCAAAAAGCTGTAACTTGTAGGGAAATAGTCGTAGAGAGAATAAAAAAAGAAGATAAAAAAAGGAAATTGAAGCTTCAAGTTTCTAGTTTTCGGATCTGGAACCTAAAATTTTTTTCTAAATTTTTACTTGTCTTTTAAAAGGTCTTTTTTACAATAATTTACATTTTTTGATGAAGAAAATATGGATTATTTCTAAAAAGAACAATTTTCAACTTAAAAAAATGAATAATAAGTGAAAAATCACTCGTTACATTGATTTTCAGCAAAAAATAACAAATTTTAAGCATTTCATCACTAGGAAAAAAATCATAGATGAAACTATCAGAATTTCTTTACGACACTTTGAGATTGAAAAGTTACAGTCAATATCCTTAGTTTATCCATTATTTGTAAAGTTATGCAGTTATTGAAATATCCCTAATTATACAATTTTTTTACCTTTTCTCCAACATTTTTACTTCAAAAAATTTTCAAAACTACTTGGATTTTCTGTACAATCATTATTTCCCAGGTAATTAATTACCAAAATCAAAAATTATTTTTATGCTTTGATCAACTCAGCGACAAATTATTGTACAAGGCTCTGGAACCGCTCAATTGAATTCAATTATGTAAAAGAGCTTTACGGTGAAATTATCAAAAATTTCCTTTTCTTTATTCTCTCCTGTGACTATTTCCCGCCAAGATACAGCTTCTTGAAAATCACCCAAAAATTTGGGACTTTCTTAATATACTTTAATTTTTGTGATTAGTGTATTATAATATTTTCTATATATAGTAGTATATTTTTACTATTTGATATGTTTTATTTATTACAGTGGTAAACTGAGTATAATCCAATCTTTTCAATCATTACTCATAATAGTTAAGTTACAGTTTTCAAATTTATATACACATCGCCGATATATATGAAATTCTCAGGAGTTTGTAACACAGATTATTATCAATGTTTAACTATACTTACCAATAAGTTATGAAGTAATCAGCAGCACTCCCAAGTAGTTGTGCAACAACAAATAAGGTAAAAAGAATAAATATCACACAGCAATTTCCACCTGCACTAAAGTAAGCCTTGTAAACATAAGCTCCTACCGAGCCAATACTTTTTTGTTCCTCTATTACTTTGGGAGCTTCTATAGAAGCCACACTTCTAATAGAATCTTGTCGAGTTAGAAGTGCTTTTTCCTTTTCTGGGGTTTCTTCAATAGGATTCTCTCCAAGGAGTTTGGTAAAATCTAAGCCACTGACTTGAAGTTCATGGAAAGTACCTAAAATAATAATTGTGTTTGAATTGTAATGCAGAGGATCGATTTAGTAGCCTCTTCTTCTCTCGGAGCCTTATTCTTGGTCAAAGGCAAAAACTGTGTTTTGAGAATGTCAATGAGACTGAGAAAAAACAGGATTTAAAGTTAGTGATATGTATAGAGGATATGGCATAAAAGTGTGGCACATAAAAATGTTTTTGTTTTAATCGAGTGCCGTAACTTGTTCCAATTAAAGCTTCCCTCCATATTTTCTTTATGGAATACCTTGTGAATTTACAACAAAATTTATAGGTCAACAACACAAAAATTTAGTGAGTTCTAGTAACTTTCCCTACTTTATGTTAGATTTTTTGGTTTATTGCTTGCTAGTAAAAAAATATGCAATAAAGCAATTTGTTTACAGTGTATAAATTATATACTACAATGCTAGGAAGAGCTGTAATTTAAAAAAGTATATGCAATGGTAATATCAGCAGGCAGGTGTTTATATTGTATAAAATCCATGACTTACAAATTCTAAGGTAGGTATTTAGATAATTTTCAACTTCAAATAATCATATTATATTTCCATAAAAAAAAACAGAAAGAATCTTACTTTTTTAAATTATTTTCTCTCGTGTTGTTGACAAGTTTTTCTATAATTTTCTCAGGCATGAAATATGTCTTAATTTAAATAGCCGTTAGACAAATGCTTAAATTAGAGCATCTGTTTTCATTCTTAAGAAGAGCTTAGCAAATTGTGCAATAAATTAAACCTTCAGAATAATTTGTTAGTAACTAACGTTCTTAATTTAAGTGTATGCAGACATAAATGTACTGTTGGTTTTTGAGAGGATTACAATACCAGAAGATGAATGGTAAATAATGACAAATTTTATCAGAATTTTCACTTAAATCCGAGTTGCACTCCCTCTGTAAATGCCTCCTTTTTCACATGTGCCCTACCCAAACACCCAAAACTAACTGCTTTCGATAGAGAAAATTTTATTAAATATATGAATTGTAGTTTTAAGAGTGAGTATGCAAACTGCAGGTGAATATGTTCATTTATCACAAATAAGATCCGCTTCTTATTTGTGGAAGGGCGAAATGGGCGGTGACTATTAGACACCTTCATTATAGCCATCTTTATCACATGGATTTCTATGACTTACTATACCGCTCTCACGTAACGGCCGATGAACCATGGGGACTTTCCGACCCTGTATACACCTTATTAATTTTAAGACGCATCTTTTTCAGTTTCATTGACATTTCTACAATAAATTTTCTCTGACTAAAGGTAAGGAGATTACGAAAGGAGACTAGTTCTATTTTTTAGGAACTGATTTCCAGACCTATATAGAGATGTGTGATAAAAAATTTTCAAAGAAAATTTGCAAAATAAAAAACAAAAAAACTCAAGTAAGTAAAATATTTTATTCATAATCTACTGGCACAAATTTTCATTTTAATTAAACTGAAAAGTGAAATATATGAAGAAAACGAAATTTTGTGGAAAATTAAAAAAAGAAACATGCCTCAATTGATTATCAATAAACCTTTATTTTAGTATATTTTGCAAATACCTTTTGAAATTCTTTCTCTAAGTGGGCCTAGAAATCATTCCCTAAAAACAGTATCAGTCCCATGTGCATTATCGCCACTGCACACTATACCTACAGTTGACATACCTTCTGCTTTAGGAATTCCATCATCTAAATAAAGGATGTGATCTACTTCTTTCAAATATTGCAATTGATGAGTGATTAAAATAACAATTTTGCTTCTTAAGTAACCAGTAATGCATTGTTCAAATAATTGCTTCCCTACATGAGTATCAACAGCAGATAATGGATCATCCAATAAATATATATCTGCCTGTTTGTAAACAGCCCTTGCTAAGTTAATTCTAGCTCTTTGGCCACCACTGAGAGATACTCCTCTGTCACCCACTGTTGTCTTGTCACCATAAGGCAGCAGTTGAAAATCACGTTCTAAAGCACATTTTTTTACCACAGTTTTGTATCTTAGTTTATCCATAGGTAAACCAAAGAGAATATTTTGCCTTACTGTTCCTGCAAACAACCAGGGTTCTTGGGAAGCATAACTTATTACACCATTAATTTTTAATGTTCCTTCAAGAAGGGGAAGTTCTTGGAGGATAACATGAAACAATGATGTTTTACCACTACCTACTGGTCCTATAATTGCCAATAATTTGCCTGGCCTTACTGTTAAATTCAGATTTGTCAGTGTATTGTCTGTTGACGCCTCACTCCATTTGGTCGTAGCATTTTTAATGGAAATACCAGGACCCTCCGATTCTCTATCTAAACTACCATTAGCAACTGTTTCAGATTCTGTATGTCCATTTTTATTGTTTTCCAATGCAGCTTTTTTGACAGCTTTTGCTATTTGAGTTTCATCATAAAGCATATATTTATTCAATCGATTAATAGAAACATTGGCTTCAGCTACTTGTGAGATTCCTTGAGGGAAGAAAACTGTCATGGTTTGACGTAAAATATTGTAGAAACAAGTTAAGACGAATACCTTTTCTGCTGTTATATCATTTCCTAATAAAACGTAGGTCAATATGCTAGCAAATATTGACATTCTAGTACTGTACATAATAAACGATAATGTTATACCTCGCATATATGATGTTAACCGAATCATTTTAATTTCATACCTGAAAAATATGGATAATTAATAATGGTGATTTCCATAGCAGATTATACTTTTTGTATTGTGTAAAGTTAAATTTTGTAATTTACCTTCTAGCCAAAGACACTAGTTTTGCAAATGGTTTTTCCCATGCGTACATTTTAATTACTTGTATACCAGAGATAATTTCATTCATTAATCTAACCCTCTCGTCTGTTCTTAGAGCAGTTTTTAATCGTAATATTGAAATTTTTTTCCCCAAATATACTGCAACAATGAAGATAATTATATTTTAGTTAGAGTAATAACCTCAGTAGGGTGCCAGAACACAATGGCATTGACGGAATGAGAAAGCGGAAGAACTTGCTAGGAATTTTTTAAAGTATACCTCAAATACCTCAATAGCATCGTATAGTTTGTTGAAAGCTATGTAAATTGGAAGTTTATATTGTTTTACGAAAATAGCTGAAAAGTGGTAATTTTTTAAAAGTAGTATTAGACTGTTTATGTTAGTTACTTTAATGACTCCATTCTTTATTTTCTACGATCACCTTCAAATTGGTATGTGACCACAAAATTTGATTCTAAACAATTTTTTTAACAAAACTCTGATATTTATTCATATAAAACTTTTGGAATATAATTTTTTATCAAGCCTAAAAAAATAAAATCGCTGTTTGACGTTTTTTAGAGTTTCTAAAGACGTAGAGACAATTGCGCATATCAATATTTAACAAAATCTAATAATAAAAATTGTTGCTTTCTGTTTTTCAATAAATTAGAAATATATTTACTTACTCTGCATTGGTATAAACATGATTAAAAGAAAAACTCCTACTGCTGCTGATGGTCCTACTTGTAAGTACATGAAATAAGTACATACTACAGTTTCAATCGGTCCGACCCATAATTGATGAGCAAATATTACAGCTAGATCAAATCTATTCACATCATTAGATAGTAAATTTACTACCTGCCCAACAGTAGTCTGACCTAATGCTGTTTTACTTAATTTTAATGACTTTCTATATATGAGGGAACAACAACCGACTCTCATTTTCATTCCTAAATGAAGAACACCCATCATATATGGATGAGTGGCTAGTATATTGACTAAAGAGCATAATACAACACCTGCAGCATACCAGTATGCTTGTTCCTTAGTTATTTCAGTTTGTTCTGGTGTGTAAAATGCTATAAATTGTCCCAATGCCAATGGTTGAATAACTCTATAAAAAAAATAAATATTATTTATACAAGTTCAAATGATATAACAGAATCCTAGGATCATTGTAACAAAAAATGTATTAAAAGTTTTGTAAGTTGTGGTGAAACTTTAACTTCGGTTTTATTATTCAAAATATTAACTTTTAATAAACTCTTTGTATGAATCTACTATCCCAGTCTACTATGTGTAAGAAGCCCCAAAATTATCAACATTTTTATCACTAATTGAAAATAAATAAATATAAACAATTATTTAATAAACTGGGTAGATTATGTGCTTTGATTAGAAATGCGTAAAATTTAATTATGTGGAGAATGTATATCAACAATCTACAAACTACAATTGAGTGTTTGGTGTTTTATATTTTATTAGATTTTTATAACATTTCTTTTTATAAACTGTTTACTATTTTTTTCAAAATATTAACATTAAAAAAGTAATGACATATAGGTAATAATTCCATGCAGCTCTAATCAAAGCATTCAAGACGTCTAGCTAAAGGTTAGTATTTTTTGCAAAATATAATAATAAAGAAAGCTGGCATGCAAGAAATTCCAAAAAAAAAAAAAATTTAATTTGTTAATTACTTAATAATGAACTATGCAATGCTGAATTTCAGTAAAATTTAGGAATTATACCTAACCTGGTTTTATTGATTTCAAAAACTCAATAAACAATATTGTATTAAATAAAATGATCTTATTTGCAAATATAATTAAATATTTAAGAATTATTAATAATTATAGACATACAATAAGGTGTTCCCATTTATAGTTATTATTAACATAATAAGTAAAAAAAAATAATGACCTCGCATATTTTTACTAAACGAACCCTAAGAAGAAGCATATTTGAAAATTATAACTATATCAAAATTGCAAATGCCTGCTATTTTTTTTAATGGCTAATTTTAGAAAAAATGTTTTAGCTATTATTTTAACCGAAATCACAACGCTACATTATTTTACATCTCCATTACAATTACTAATAGTTAATTTGGCAAGAAAATTATTCATATGAAACATGCCCAATATATATTGAGACATTATTTAAACAATTAAAATATGGGGGCATTGTGAGGGGTATAGAATAACCTGACATTAGTATGCTTCGGATAAAATATCATTAGTAGGTACATTTACAATTAGCACATTATAGTCATAGCAGGCTTAGGATTTATAATTATTGAGGAAGTTAGACTTTTCCAAACATAGTCATTTTAGGGTCTATTAAAAAAATTTGTACTTTTTTAAACATAAACTAACTTTACACAGCACGGTGTTTAAAATTTATTACAAAAATTGTATTTTTAAAGTGTTAAGCGCAGCATAGCTAATAAAATATATTTTGCAAGAAGAAATTGGAAATTGAAGTAGAAAACAGTTACATTTAATAAATGTACCTTAGTTTGTGTACCTTAGAGTTTGTGACAGATAAGCAAAATTTAAAAAACAAGAAGTTTTATATAAAAAAATGAAAAATGTTGATACGGATAAATCTAAAACAAAAAAATATTGAAGCTATGTGGTGCAGATGAAATCTAATCTAACCAAACAGTTATATATTTACTCCTCTGATTGATTTAAATATTTCTTGGGAGCAAAATAACCCATTAATTTTCCCAAAAATAGTGGCTGGTGCAATCTGCATAAATATAAATATGTATTAAAATATGGCCTGTAAAAGAAAATTAATGAAAATATAATTGATATAAATAATGAAGTTCGTAATAAAGTAGGTTATAAATTAGTTGGAAGATATTTTTCTGCATTAATTCCGTGATATAACGAATATTCTATATAAATATGATTTTTAATAATTGAATATTATAAAAGAAAGTACCGAGTCTTGGAAAGATTTTGAACTAATTGATATTTGAAAAATTTGAGAGCCAATCTGTTTTGCTTAAAAAATAATGTCCATTGAGGTACCTACATATTTGACTGTGCATCTCGCTATCAATTCTCACAGATAAATTATATATTCTTATATACGCATACTTCAGTAAAAGGGCAACAATATGTCATCCGTAATAATATTACATCAACATTTTTGTTTTAATTTGCAAAATAATAACGAATCAATATCATATCTCACTCTTAAGAGTTTTTAAAGTTAATAAAATTAAGAAGTATTTAAAAATCAAGAGGTGCCATTTTCTATGGCTTTTTTTTTGCTTCATCGAGTTTATATCCGGAATCGGAAAATATAAAGTAATCTAATTTCGTTCTTGTTATGTTCATTTGGTTTAAATTTTTTCTTGGGTTAATTGAACTATTCAAGTATTATACACGGTGATTCAGGAGGAAATATCAATATTTTAGGTAGGTACATATTCAGGGACCTAAAACAAACATAAAAGTTCCTAGAAACATGGGTCCTATTCTCAGCTGTTACATAACAGGGGTAAACAATATTCAATTTAAGATTTTTTCTTTTTTCAAACTGGTGGATTGGTCGAGGAGGTCTGCAAAATTGGCCAGCCAGATCGCCAGACTTTAATTCAATGGATTATTATCTTTGGGGGTGGTTTAAATCTATTCAAGTAAAGTTGCATTACTCCATCTAAATAAATGCAGCACCAACTACATATAAGAAACAGACCGGCATCTATTCATACAGCGATCCGGTTTATTCACGAGAAAGCTGACTTGTGTTTAGAAGTAAACGATGACATTTTTGAAAACTATAGAACCTATCCTACTTGTTATAAGTAATTTAATAAATATTTTAAACTGAATATGTAGGTATGTTTACTCCTTTTATGTAACGGCTGAGAATAGGACCCATGTTTATAGGAACTATTATGTTTATTTTGGTTCCCTGAATACGTACCAAAAATATTGACCTGAATCACCCTGTATATTATTATTATTTAAATCCAGTAATCTTAGTGGAAAGAATTGTAACAGGCCATATACACGATACTTAGAAATGGAAAAATATTTTGTTATTCATCAATTATATTTTCGTATTCTTGAAAAATGTTTAAAGTATTATTTAAAGAAATTATACTTTTTTATATACGTACCTTATTGCCTCGCTTAATGCTAAAACAATGCCATAAAACATGAACTCCAGTCCAAATACTTTAAAAAGAACTCTCTGTAATGAAGGGGTGGTTTTAGCTTTCGCGGCTCTTTCTTCTTCGTTATTCCAATATTTTTCCATCTTATTTCCCAACCTGCTTGACCTATGCTCCGACAAGGTTTCAGTTAGATCGGATTCTTCTAGGTCACGCTTGAATCCCTGAATAAACGTCGGGATTGTGTAACTAAAAAAATGTTTTAAGTTCATTAAACAGCTCTGCATTTACCAATTTTTCATCCAATAAATTGTCAAACATGTCACTTTTGCACTCAGTGCGCACTTACAAATAGTATATCTTCATTTTGTATTATCAACTTGAACAATAAAGGCCGGAAATATGCTCGCTGTGCCACTAAGTTTAAGAATTCAATTAAGACGAAATATGGCACCTTTGATACATTACAGTAAATAGGCCAATTTATTGGTCAAACTTAAAGCTATCAACTTTTAAAATAAAAATCAATCATAATCTAACATCAAATTGTTGTAGTACGCAGAGCTCCTCCAAAATTCACCCATGTTTTGAATACCCGTAAAAATCCTTCAAGGGGAGCCCGCAAGGCGCAGTTTCCGCCAAAATAATAGGAATCCAACCCCGCAAGGTGCAGTTCCCGCCTAAAAATAGGAGTCCACACAATATAGCGCAATTCCCGCTAAAACAAAGAGAATTCACTAGCATTTAGTTTTCAGCGATGTTTCCAAATAGACCTTTTTAGTAGGGACGTCATAAACGCCAAATAATAGGTAACCCCATACACATTGTCATGAAGAATTTCTCAGTATTTTTACTAGATCGATTTTCGACCTTATGTACTTTGGACATAAGTGACAAAAAATGTCTTCTTTGTCATGACCTTAAATATCATGATATTTTAGCGATATTAGAAATATTTAAGAAGTTTCAAATCCCAAGTGACAAACTAAAAGAATTGTCGACTTTATATTTTTAAATTTATAGAACAATATTGACTTTTATAGTAGGTAATTAATAAATTAATATTTTATCAATGTTACTGAGCATGCTCATTAAAGATAATTTCATGCAAGCGAAGTAGCCTCGCAACAGGATACCATTCGAGAAAAGTTTGGTTCTGGTTAAGAGTACGTCTATAATAAACCACTTGAAGACAAAAAAACACTTGATAAACAGACTGTCACAGCAGAGCACCGAGAAAAACAATAAAAAATACTTGGTAGAGCTAGAAAATACCAAGATTAAACAAATCAAGATCTCACCTGCGTATGAGGCTATTCTTTCCGAGCATGAGTATTAGGAACAACACGGCTAATGTTAAATGTTTACTTTATTTAAAAGGAATATTCTTTTACACCGTTTTTTTTGTAAGTTTTAAGCACATTAGTGTATCTATTTTACTAAATACGTTTTGTTTGTTCTTAAATACTTCTCAATCCTTGTAAAAATAAATTCATTTGAAGTTGTTCATTTTTATAGTATCTATGTAAATAGTACACAAGGGTCAGATTCGATCTGTACAATTTCAACTATGACAATTTGTTGTGGGTGGCCTAAATATGTGACGTCACACTAAAAGAGTCTATTAGATCCCATTCCCGCCAAGTAGTAGCTGATCATAGACAAACTATATACAACAGACTACCCACTACACCCTTCCGAGGATGCAGAGAGGCAAATTATGTTTTTGCCTATCTTTCTGTTTCCTGCCCAGGTTCCGCAGATGTCGAATCAACGAATTTCACTGACCTTTCGAAAATTCTCCCACCAAGACGACGAGGAAGCCCTGATTGCCGCCAATATGCCGTAGATGCCCTAGACTAGAGATACAGCATGCGACACAGCGCTGTACCCTCCGACCGCGCGGAAAGAAAACAATAATTTTACGCATCTTTGCAAAATTTATTCGCCAAGCCACCATGAGAAGATTGCCTAAAAGTCCCTTGTTCTCGTAGATGACGACGACGACGCATGCCTGGTCGCTCTCCCCGAGGCCGCTGACGGGCACACGAAGCCGCACAATTTTTCGACCTTTCCAAAAATTGGCAAAAATAATTAGGGTCAGCACTACTCACAGTCATTTTCAACCCTTCAACCTTTAAGAGACGCCCGTAATTGCCTAGGACGCAGTTTTTTGAGTTCCGAATTTCCTGGAACTAAACCGGACCATACAGCAGGCTACCCAACCAGCGTCCGAATGCCAACTCTAGTTTTCAACAGTTTAATGACCAGGGACGATGACCTGACCAGAGTGTGTACTCGACTTTTGCATAATCAGTAACGCTCGTTCCAAATTTTATTTGCATTGTATAAGCAACCTACATACCTTTTACATTGTTATTACAACCTAAGCACTAAATAAAACTCACAAATTTTTTCAAAACTATATATAATTATAATTCTCTCAAAAATTACCAAACCGAGCACAATGCTCACAAATTCAGCTCTCATGTTGTCTTTCCTCCTAAAGCTTACCGTACCGGCACTCTAAGGAGGCCGTACACTATTGAACTCAAATATTTAGCCAGTGCAAACAGAATGATATTCACACAAGAAATAATTAGAGCGTGAATCATGAAGCCAAAGTAAGACAAACACGTCATCAATGAAGGGGGAGCGAAAGTCTCTGTGTCTTTCCCTGACGTACCCCGTAATTAATATTATAAGGGAAATGTACGAGCTATCTGGAAATTTCCTCATCGGCTCGCGGGCGATCCACTACCAAACTAACGTACCTATCAAAGTCCGCTACAAAATCACAAACCCTAATAGGCTTAGAACTTATGTCAGACTAACGTAACTTAATAACAACCATGCGTACCTAGGTAAAATACTATTAATATTTAAAATAAAAACGTGTAAAAAAAATTAAGTGTCAAAATCGTAGAATATAATTGGTACTATTAGTAGTACTTCATAAATGTTTACAACCCAACAATGCACGATTGGTACTGGAACGAAAATTCCCTAAGTCTTGGCGAAACCAGTATTAATGATTCGTTTCCAATAAATGATGATCATGAATAATGACAAACCGTTACGTCTACGCTCGAGAAAATGCGAACGCTGATTGGTTGAATAGAATCTCATGAAAAATTACACAAATCACAGCTGATGCAATAGAATATTGTATTTTCATTTAATCTTAATCAAATTGTTTTAATTTTACCGAAATTTATTTGCCAACGTGAAAGAAATAAAATTACTGTTCCAATCAAAATTATTGGTCACGTGGCTTGTAATCATTTATGAAGCCTCTGTAAAAACCAATAAAATTGGCCAATAAATTTTTAACTAATATATTAATTATTAATATTGGGTTAAAAATTAGTAGAAGTAAAACTTGCTAATATTTATTTCAATTATTAAATTTTAGCACAAACGATACAATATTTGCTTCGAAAATGTGATTCACATTTATTTTAAAACCAGTAAAAAAATTAAATTTTCTCAAAGTCCGCATCACTAATTACAATTTATTACATAACAAAAGTTTCAGTTTTCTTATTTTACCCACCTACTTTGAGATTTACTGCTCAAACAAAAAAATGATTAGGACAAAAGTTGCAGGGTTTTGAGTGAGCGGTGACCTTGACCATGACCTTGAGGTCATGTCATTTAGAGGTCAAGTTGAAAATTTTAAATGGAACCGTATACTTTTGACCCCGGAAATGGTAAGAGCGAAAAATTTTACGTTCGAATGTGACCTTGACCTTCAAGGTCATTTAGAGATCAACCTAAAAATTTTAAATGGAACCGTATATTTTTGACACCGGAACGTATCTAATATATTGGACTAAAAATTTGATTTAAAAAGTTTCCAAATTGACCTGTAAACGACTTCCAAGTTACAGTCAAAGTCACCGTTTGATTGCTCACTTTTAACCCTAACATCTCGGTAATTTTTCCACTGATGAGAACCTTCGGAGACAGGTTGTTGGAAATACTGTAACCATTTCCGGGGTCAAAAATATACGGTTCCATTTAAAATTTTCATGTTGACCTTTAAATGACCTTGAAGGTCATGGTCATGGTCACCGTTCACTCAAAACCCTGCAACTTTTGTCCTAAACTTTTTGAACACCCTGTATATGTACAAAGTATGAGAAGAGTCAAACTGGAAATTTTGTTAGAAACTTGTGATATAATAATTTCTGCGATTAAATACATGTTTGATTTCAGCAATCATAGTATTTCAATTATTTCACATAGATTGATTTTAAACCTAAAAAAAAATTTTTCAAATATATGAATAATCACCGACACACACGAAAAAAGTGGTCTGTACTTTTAATTTGACCCAATAGGCTTTATGTATCTTGACTGAATCTAAAGTCTGTTTAGCTCTAACACCCCCAAAATTTAATTGGCAAAAAGTAGAGAAAAATCGCTGAAAATCATGTTAGTGAGCGAAATAAAATCGAAAAAAAAAATGTTCTGAACTTGATCAAGTGGGATTCTTATGTGTTTTGATGTACTGAATCTGAAGCTGCACCCCCCCAGATTTTGCCAAAAATCACATAAGTGAGCTCAAAAAAATTCGAAAATATCCTTTCTGACCTTGATCAAGTGTGCTTCTTATGTATTTTGGTACTCTGAATTCTGAATTCGAGTGTGAAGTCTATTAGCTGTACCTCCCCACATATTTTACAAAAAAAAAACCTGTTGAAAATGGCAAAAAATGATATTAATGACAGTGAGAAAATTTAGAAAGAGGTTTTTTAGAATGGCACTTGATCCATTCTCCTCCCTCCTTCTCATAAATTTTGTCGAGTCGAATTTAAATCTAAAGCCTGTTGAGCCTCATTACCCAAAAATTTTGCAAAAATCGCACAATATCGTAAGAAAATGGAAATCGTGAATTTCAATAAATCTTGAATAATATAAATGCCAGGGATATGAATTACTTCTAAATAAATTCGACTGACTCGAACTAGGCTTTCTTTAATATTGCTCTTATACTTTTCTTCTCTTGTAGCGAACTCTTATCTCTTCGAATGACCTATGCAGCGGATTTCTCTTCCTCTTCTGTCTATTCTGATTCGTTTCTCTCTTTAGTGCCCAACAGAAATCTGCATGTTGATATCCCATCTTTCTTGGTAACGATTCTTCATTTCACTTATATCTTGATGGAATCTTTCTCATTGTTCAAGGTTTTGAGGAAAGTAATCAAGGTGATAGTGTAGGTAGTGCAATTTAAGATTCATCAA